ATGCACCTGTATGAACCTTGGATCGATGTCCTCATCAAATTCTGAATATAAGTGTGATGATGAAAAATCTCAAAATAACTGCTACTTACAACTAGTAATGAACTTATTAAACTTGTTATGCTGCAAGGAGCTTCTTGATATCATTCTGCAATGCAGAGAAAAAAGAAAATGGAAATCACTTCAAAGAACTCATAATGGATAGAATAATATGAAAATATTCCAAAATAAAAAAGATGTTCGTAAAACACCAAAGTTAAATTTCAGGTACAACTCTAGAATACTATAGTCGTTAAGATTTCATTTAGGACAACTTTCTAACTATTTTTAAAAGCAGTTTTTTAGTACAAAATTTTTTGAATTAGAAATTTTTGTCTAAAAAGTAGTAAAAAAATTATCTTAAACAAAACATAAGGGGTGATAGCATTGCCTACTTTAGGATACGTTTGGTATGGCATTCTTAAAGCAGCTTTTTAGTATACAAATTAAAATTTTTATACTAAAAAGCTGCTTTAAGAAGCAGTAAAAAACCATCTCAAACGAAGCCTTACTAAATGTGCTCACATAAACATAATTCTTCCTCATTATATAAGATAAGACATCATTCAATCTGTCATTATTGATAGCATAAGATCAACAAAATTATTGAAATGGCATATCCAAATATTTAAACAAACTCACCTCAATCTGGAATGGTGAAGTGGTAGGTTGGTACCTCTCCACAACATTACCATTTTTATCTATCAAAAACTTTTCAAAGTTCCACTTGATAAGGTCGCCAAGAAATCCTCCAGCACTTGCCTTCAGAAATTGATAGACTGGCGCTGTCTTTGGTCCGTTTACATCAACCTGTTAGGATGAAAGAAAATGGTCAATAAAAACGAAAGCTTTCTCCCACATCAGCTCTCTTTGAATGAATCGAGAGAGGAGATGGTACTACCTCAAGAAGATACTTCATTCTGCAAACTCAAAAGATACAAACTATCACATATATAAAATCCTCTTCAAAGAAAAGGCTACATTAAGGGGCTGTTTGGTAGCAGGATTTAGGCCGGATTTGAGGCGGATTTGAGCAAAATCCAGCCAAATGGCCTAAAATGCAAAACCAAGTCTCACGGCAAACGAAATCCGCTGTAGACGGAAAATTCCGCCGATTCGCTCCAAATCCCGGATTTCCAAAATCCTATATTTTGTCGGATTTACGAAATCCATGGCGCTAGAGGAAGAGTCCGCTCAGTAAATTCTCCTCTATAGCCAAACAGTCACTTGAGATTTAAGAGGATTTAGCATGAATGTTACCAAACAGTTTTCAAGATTTAAGCCCCTCAGCATTTTCAAAATCTGGATTTAGAGGATTTATGAAATCCTACTTAAATCAAATCCGGGGTTCTACCAAACAGCCGCTAAGGGTCAAAGATGAATATGATCATGAAGGCATACCTTATCAAATATAGGGAATTCTGCCTTAAATCTTGTACAAGCAAACTGCTTTATCTGTGTATTTGATCCAGGCTCTTGGCCTCCAAATTGATTGCAAGGAAAAGCCAAAATCTCAAAGCCTATATTTAAAGACCAGGTTACAGGTCATATGGTTGTGTAATTAAATCCTATATTATTGGTGCTTGGAATCAAAAGAAATTTAGATTATTTTTAAGAATGGTGAAGACCAAGCAAACCCGACTAGTAGGATCTTAATATTCTTCAGCTAGTTGATGAGGAAAAAGAAAACAAAAACTTCCAAAATAATAAATTAATAACAACTTGATATTTATTTCAAAAAGAAATGGCACTTAAAATAAACCAAAAAGTCAGGAAATGTAACTTATGATCCAAAGCAATTACCTTGGTCCTTATACTTGTCATAAAGTTGGGAGAGCTCTGTGTAATTTGAAGATGTCAAACCACTGCCATTCTCAATATAAAGATACAATTATGAACAATGCAAAAAAAAAAAAGGTTCACTAGATATAGGGATTGAAAAAATGTATATCACACGACAACATTCTGTTAGATAGGAAGAGATTTTACCATTGAGAAGCAACATTAACAATTAATAGGACCTTCCCCTTGAATTTACTAAGAGAAATATCATTGCCATCAATATCCTGCACCAAAAGTATATATATATGAAGCTTCACTTCTCTATCTGAGGGGATATCTGAACTCAACAAGCATATCATTGCCTTCAATTAGCTTCAAGAATCCTCAACATCCTTTTAAGCAAAGACTGAGAAACTGAAGAAATTATTCCATGCGGAGTCCGGACGGTAAAGACCCGTCCGGTTTCCAGATGTGTACACACTCTGTATAAAAAAAATTAAACTGTGTAGAAAATTATACTCAGTGTATACTGTGTACAATTTCTGGAGAAACAGGCCCTCTATTTCTACACAGAAATCCTAACCTAGCTTCAGTAATCCACAGCACTTTGCATTGAATTTCTTATATTTTACCATAACACGAATGAACTAAATTTTGGTCCCATCAATGTAAACAAGAACCAATTTTTACCACCCAATCAAGCCAAATCACCAAAACGATTCATAGAAACATAAAGAAAAAAAAAAAAAGAGAAGTGGAAAGATCCAAACAGGAGACATTAGTAACTAAGAAAGGAGCTTAATACCTTAACGGTAAATTCATGAAGGCTCTTCCCCGTGGCGGCAGTGGCAAAAGTTACGCCAAGTGTACGCTGCCCCTTCATTACCAACCCTGGAATCCTCAATCTCCGAGAAAAAATACTCTGACTCAAGACCGTAAATCCCCGAAATCCCGAAGAGAACCTCGCCGATAGGCCTAGAAATCCTGAAGCTCCCCGAAAGCCAGCTAATCGGACGCCACCGGAAGTTATGGGGATCCCCGCAGTGAAGACTGCCGATGCGAAGATTGAAGAATTCATCGAAAGAAGAATGAAAAGGAGAGATTTTGCTTTGTGAGGGCTTTCGAATCGGTTTGCTTCGCCTGTGCATTAAATAGTAGTAAATACTGCTCTGGCTTTTCATGGAAGAACTGGAAACGAGCACTCGAGCGGTAGGAGGAACAAGCGGTTTGAATCCAGCCATGTCTCATTTCATTTTAACGAGAAGAAAGCTCACGCAATGCATAAGAGAATCATCAAAGTCATTATTTTATTTTAATTTGTAATTTTTTATTTCTTTTGTGCGGTTGATTTTTTGCTATGATATACTGATAAAATAATAACTCTAGTCGAATTTAAAAGCAAGGTTGTAAAAATCGGATCTGATAATAAATCGGTAAAATGAGAGGTTTACGGTTCGATCGATCTGAATGGAGTCGAACTTAATCAAATGAGAATATTCACACAAAAAAAAAAAGTTGTTCTTACTTTTTGAAGAGTAATATTATATTTTACTGAAAATTGGCTCATTTTTTAAATTAGTTTATTTTATAAAATTTTTAATTACAATATTTAAATTAATCAACAATTAATTTGAATTTTTAAATTAAATTTAAGCTTAATAGTGGTTTAGAGAAATAAAGTGTGGAAAAACTATTATAACTTATGCCATTACAATATAAGTGTGAAAATGCTTAAGAGATAAAGGAATTTGTTTTACAAAACTTGTCCATATTGTTTTATAAACTAAAAATATGTCAGATAAGTGAAGGAGTGTGTTGATTATTATTTTTAAGAATAAAAATGATGCACAAGAGTGTGTGAATTATAGAAGAATTAAATTAATATATCACAAATTAAAGCCTTGGAAGAGAGTTATTGAGCATATGTTACGACATGATACTAATATTTCTCAAACTCTATTTGGATTCATGTTGGGTAGATCTATTATGAAAGCTATATATTTATTTGAGAGGTTTAATGGAGAAGTATAAAGAGAATAAGGAGGATTTACATATGGTATTTATTGATTTAGAGAAAGCTTATGATGAAATTCCAAGATAAGTGTTAGGGAGAGTTTTAGTAAGTAAATAGGTTAATAAGGCTTATACTCAAGCACTTAAGGATATGTATTCAAGAGATATTACTTCTGTTCAAGCACAAGGTGGCTTGCCAAGTATTTTCCTATTTCAGTTGGATTACATCAAGAAACAACCTTAAGCCCGTTTCTTTTTGCTTTAGTCATGGATCTTACTAGACAATTGCAAGAGTATGTACCCTATGTATGCTTTTTTTTTTTTATGATATTATGCTTGTTGATAGGATTGAAGAGGGCATTGAAGGTAAACTTAAATTATGAATGTCAACTTTAGAGTCTAAAGGTTTCGTTTGAGTGGATCTGAAGTCGAATATGTAATAACCTAAATTTTTAACTATTAAGATATTGTCCACTTTGGCCTAAGTGCTTTACAGTTTTATCATGCTGGAGTAACTTCCCAGGAGTTCATCCATCCCAAGATTTCTCTAGGATAAGGGCGCTTAACTATAGAGTTTCTTAATAAAATTGCAATTATTACACCAAAAAGTGTTTTGATGTCTAAGAATTTAATTTCTTTTAATTAAGGGATCACAATCTCCCCCACTTAAGTAACTGACATTCTCGTGAGTATATTTATCTCATAATCATCTATCAGGAAGATAATATTCTAAATGTGGCCCCTAGAAGTTCAAGAGATGACTCCAACCACATATCACTTTGTATCATGCAGGTTCAAGAGGTGGCTCACATGGTGTAGAATTTATCTTGTATAACACTTAGTTCTCATCTTCCAGCTGATGTATTGCTCTTATAGCATTTGTAACAACCAAAACTCTTAACTATCGATATATTATTTTATTTGGCCTAAGGGCCTCATAGTTTTGCCTAAATTGTGTTACTTTCTAGTAGGTCACTCATCCCGTGATTTCTTTGATATGAGCATGCTTAACTGTGAAGTTTCTTAATAAAATTCAAACTATTACACCGAAAGCACCTTAATGTTTAAGACTTTAGCTTATTTTACTTAACTGGTTTCACATAATACATAGAGTTTAATTTTAGTAGTAATAAATCTAGTGGTGGGATCGTGACTTCGAGTGATCAAGTCATTAATAAGAGTACACCTTTTAGATATCTCGTGTCAATTGTCCAGAGTGGTGGTGAAATAGATGAGAATGTTATTAGTAGAATTCAGGATGGATGGTTAAAATGGAGGAATGCATCTAACTTGTTGTGTGATAAAAAAGTAACCCTCAAACTTAAGGGAAAATTTTATAAGATGGTAATTAGACATACAATGCTTTATAGCGCTAAGTGTTGGCCATTACAAGAGAGGCATACAATTAAGCTAAGTTTTTCAAAGATGATGATGCTCGAGTAGATGAGTGGCTTTACTTATAGAGACAAAATGCAAAACGAGCATATACGTGAAAAATGTTGGAGTAACTCAAGTGATAGATAATATTACAAAGAGTAGCCTTAGATAGTTTGTTCACGTAAAATGACGGTCTTCTAGTAACTCAGTTAGGAGAGTAGATGTATAAGATTTGACCTATGTTTAGAGAGGTAGAGCTAGATCTAAAAAGCAAGGCTTTTAAAACTGGACCGGTCAATGAACCGGAAGAAGAAGGGGTTAGAGGTTTGATGGTTCGACCGGGGTCGAACCGTCCGGTCGAACCGGATGACGTAATAATTATTTATTATATTTAAATATTATAATAATGACACAACTTATCACGCCCCAAGATCTAACTTGGAAAGAATGTCAATC